GTTTGGCTAGATTTAGGTACAAATACTTGGTTAGTTAAGAAAATCTCATTACAAGATCCATTTAGAAGCTGTTCTGAAGCTTTTGATTGATTCCCTCTTTGATCCTCAGCAGATGGAGTTGTCACAGAATTATAGATGTTCAAACTTTCCTTCTTGCCCATGTTGGCTTAAAACCATACTTCTGTATGAAGGCCACATCCTTTTTGGTGATTTTAGAAGTTTAAACTAGACTTGGCCTTGCTAACGTCTTATTGAGGCAGTACTTTGGCACAGAGGTGCTTTGAACTAAATGTTTAGCAGGTATAAAGTTTACCATGTTTCAGCGGTGGACAGTAACTAAGTATATTTACTCAAGTATTGTATTGTACAAATTTGAGGTACGTGTACTTTACTCGAGTATTTTTTTTCATGCTACTTTCTATTTCTACCACCTCAAAAGGGAAAAAGTGTTCTTTTTACTTCACTACATTTATCTTACAGCTTTAGTAGCTACTTTACAAATTAAGCTTTTTTTACACACAAAACATATGAAAAGTTTATAAAATATGACGTTTTGTTATGCGTTATGTTCTGTCTGTTGACAGAAAATTAACTGGAAACTATTTAGATCATATTTAATGTAAAAAGCATTTGATAGCTCCAGCTTCACAAATGTGAAGATTTGCTTCATTTCCTTTTAATTATTTGAATGTTAATAATGATGTTGAGGTTTGGACTGTTGGTTGGACAAAACAAAGCATTATGAAAGTGTCACTTTGGGCTCTGGGTAACTGAAACGGCATTTCTTACAATTTTCGGGAATCAATCGATTAATGGAGAAAATAATCAGCAGATAAATTCGTACTAAAAATCATCATTAGTTCAGGTTCAAAATAGTTGAAATGAGCTCCAGGTTTAACAACTACAGCAGTATAATCCTGCTTTTACTTGAATGCATGAGTAAAAATAATATCACTGCTCAAAAAAAATAAAGGGAACACTTAAACACAATGTACCACCAAGTCAATCACACTCCTGTGAAATCAAACTGTCCACTTACGAAGCAGCACTGATTGACAATCTATTTCACATGCTGTTGTGCAAATGGAATACACAACAGGTGGAAATTACAGGAAATTAGTAAGACACCCCCAATAAAGGAGTGGTTGCAGGTGGTGACCACAGACCACTTCTCAGTTCCTATGCTGATGTTTTGGTCACTTTTGAATGCTGGCGGTGCTTTCACTCTAGTGGTAGCATGAGACTGAGTCTACAACCCTCACAAGAGCATGGAGGCGCTACCAGGAGACGGGCCAGTACATCAGGAGACGTGGAGGAGGCCGTAGGAGGGCAACAACCCAGCAGCAGGACCGCTACCTCCGCCTTTGTGCAAGGAGGAGCAGGAGGAGCACTGCCAGAGCCCTGCAAAATGACCTCCAGCAGGCCACAAATGTGCATGTGTCTGCTCAAACGGTCAGAAACAGACTCCATGAGGGTGGTACGAGGGCCCGACGTCCACAGGTGGGGGTTGTGCTTACAGCCCAACACCGTGCAGGACGTTTGCCAGAGAACACCAAGATTGGCAAATTCGCCACTGGCGCCCTGTGCTCTTCACAGATGAAAGCAGGTTCACACTGAGCACATGTGACAGACGTGACAGAGTCTGGAGACGCCGTGGAGAACGTTCTGCTGCCTGCAACATCCTCCAGCATGACCGGTTTGGCGGTGGGTCAGTAATGGTGTGGGGTGGCATTTCTTTGGGGGGCCGCACATATTATAGTACAATATAACAGTCACAGGGGACATTGTACTGCACAGAGTACTTTTACTTTTTATAAGTACATTTTCCTGATTAAACATACATATTTTTATTTACTTGTAACAGAGTACTTTTACATGCACGTGCATGAACACTTTGTCCACCACTGCCTTGTTTTATTAAATGTTGGCATGTTAACATTTGCCAGTTAGCAATAGACATGAAGCACAGCGGAGGCTAATGGGGATGTTTTGAATTAAAGCTTTGCAGACCAAACTGAGATTTTGACCCGATGATGGCACTAGATGAAAAGACACAGGATCAACAAAGTAATTGAAGGTACATGATTGTCTGTACAAAATTTTAAAACAATCCCATAAGTAACAATCCAATAGTTTTTGAGACTTTTCAGTCTGCACCAAAGTGGTGGATGAACTATACAGCCAACTATGCCACTGCGAGATCCACGCCGCTAGAGTGACTAAAAACACAAATTTGGATGAATGCTTCTTTGACCAGTGGATCTCATGGTCACCCTAATTAAAGCTGGTGGCACCTTTTGATTATATTAACTAGGAAATTAGATGAAAAAATAGTGAGTTTTACTAATTATATATATTATATACACATACACACACACACACACACACACACACACACACACACACACACACACACACACATTAATAATTAATAATGAAGCTCTTAAAGAGGGGGGCAAAAAGACAAAATAGTAAATCAGCTAAGGATTTGACTTTAGAAGCATGAGAAGGGAAATTATAGTTTGCTTGCAGTAGATGATTTCATACAGCATGTGATAAAATAGACTATTGTTACAGAGACGTAAGCAGCACTCGAAAAAAAACATTTTTTCCAGGACAAGTGGGAAGGAGAGGTGAAAATTGGAGCGAAGTGTGAGAGCTGGGTGGAAAAAAGTGAAGCAGGTGCTGAATTTGATCTACAAACCACAAACAACATCCAAAACAGTACGATGAGCTCAGAGTGACGACTGCAACTGTTGATTATTTTCAAGATTAATCGATTAGTTGTTTTGTCTGTCCAAGGAAGGTTAAAAGGCAAATGGACTTGGTTAAATATACTCAAAAACGACTTCTTCAGTTCTGTCAAAATATGGTCCATAAAATGTCTGAAAATGAATTTTAAAAAATGTCCCAAAAAGACGTCCCCAAAAGTCTTGTTTTGTCCACAACCCAAAGATATTCCGTTTACTGTCACAGAGGAGCAAAGAAAACTAGAAAATATTCATATTTAAGAAGCTGGAATCAAAGAAGGACATTTTGTCCCCTTAAAAAAATGACTCAATATTATTAATCTATAATCAGAATAGTTGCCAATTAATTTAATAGTCGACAACCAACAACTAGCTCTAGAGGACTGACTCACTTTCATCTCAACTGGAAAAACTCACAGATGAATTCAGTTTACACTCATTCACTTGGCGCGAGTAAAAGACATCTTGCAAAAGCTGGGATTCGCTCTAATCTTTAGTAGGACCAGAGTGACAAAAATGTATCCTCTGCATTACTAAAGTCAGACTGACACTTTAATTTTAGTATGTAGATCATCAATACCTTTCTTATCATCAGATTTATTTGTTTTACTGACAAACTACAACACAATTCATTCATGTGACAGGAACGGTCAGAAACCTCCAGGTGTTTACATGCCACAGTGCCCTAGATTTAGTTGCACAAGCTATTTGTAAATCCATGACCATGTTTACGTGTAAAGTCCCTCCTTAGTTAGTAACAACTAGTTAGTTTCAACTTGGGTTGCACCATTAAAACTGTTTGGCTGTAGGATAACAAACAATATCCTAAACTTAACAGCCAATCCTTTATAAATATAGGTATTGCTTTGCTTATTTATATATGTAAACAGTTTGAGTTTGTAGCATCAATGTAGTCTGAGTGTTAGTGAGAGGGAAATATCTGATTATGTTAACCAACCAACAGTTTTAGCTCCCCTGATATTTAAGTTGGCCAGATTCAGTTTTAATAAGACACTGTAAAACATATTTTACACTAACTTTAATAGACACTGGGTAACACTGACCCATGCAGCTTGGTGATGTGTTTTTTTCCTCTACAACATCCTTAACTCTGTTTTATCTCCAAGTGTCATTAATACATAACCACTACTAAAGCCGCATTTCGACCAAAAGTACCCGGGACTTTTTAGTCCCCAGACTTCTTTTCAAGGAACTAAAAGGTTCCCTTCAGCCCACTGTTGTGTGCGTTTCCACCGTGATCTAAAGACCTGCGAAGATTAGGCAAATTAACCAGCTGACGTATACGCCATACAAAGCGATGTACTGGCATCATTATTTAGTAACCACTATCCACGTGTCCGCCCGAGCGTCAGAGGAACGTGATTTTTAACAAGTCTGTGAAGGTTCTCAGTCATCCAGGTCATAGTTATCCAACGAAGGTTGAGGTCAAGGGCAACTGGACTTGGTTGAAGATAGAAGAAGACGTTTCGTCCCTCATCCAAGAGACTTCAGTTCTGACTGACTGGTAGGGAAACTCAGCTATTTAACCTCTGGGATCATTAGCCAGGATCGTCGATACCGCAGGTGGTAACGACAGTCATCACGGTCGTTAGAGCCACCCGTGGCTAAGTCTGAACGACCATCATTGGCATCTTCACCTGAGGCCATGAGGAAATGCTTGTTGAGTTTCCTGGGAAGTAATGAAAGGACAGCATTGTAAGTGGGGGATAAGTGGTGGCGTAGACCTCCTCCTCTGTTCAACGACGGCTTCCCTGACACCTCTTTCGAACCATCCGTCTTCTCTGTCTAAAATGTGCACCTGGTGGTCCTCAAAAGAGTGTCCTTTATCTTTCAGATTTAAATGAACGGCAGAGTCTTGAGAGTCAAAGCGGTCTTTGAGGTGTACCAGAATCTGTCTTAGCGTGTTCTTGGGTTTAAAAAACACAGGGATGTTGTGTTTGTTGAAAATCCTCCTGAGTTTCTCTGATACTCCAGACACGTATGGAATCACAATGTTGTTGCATTGAATGTTGTTCTTTGGATATCTTCATCACCATGAACACACACTGCAGTTTATTCTGACTCAGTCCCACATACGCTGTCCTGCTGCCCCAAATACTCACAAGAACCCCACATGTGGATTCATCCACCGCTGAAAATAGTCCCCAACAACTGCACTATGTATATGTATTAAAGAGTATTTCTTTTTAATAAAACTATATATTTGTAATGTAAAGATTCACATCTGTGCAATGTTTACCCAACGGGTTTTAATGCAGCACCGCTGACAGTTCAATATGAAACTTGAGCTTGTTTTGATAAACATAAAACTGAAAATTACAACAAGGCAATGATCAACTCAGTCCTCTGATGTTTTGGCATTTGAGAGCCTGTTATGAAAAAACAAAGCTAAAACAAGATTCTTTTCATTCATTTCATGCATTTCCCTTGATTTAAATATACAGATTTGACTTTTGACTTTTAATTCCACTAAACCAGTGATCTTCAGTGATTTCAAAAGGATTAAATGACTGATTCTTCATCCTAAAGGCCATCATCAAGGTTGTCAAACGTACAGAGAAGTTTGACACAAGAAGTTACAGGCTAATAAATACATTAAAATATTGTACATCTTTCTTATTATTAGGTCAACATGGTCAAACTGATGCACACGATTTTCTATTGTCCTTCTGCAACTATTTTCTTTTTGTTGCAACATAAAGCACCTGGTTTGATTTGCAACGTTATCACTGCAAGTCACTTACCTGCCTTTCAGTGATATTTGACAGATAAGCATTTCTGTTATACTGCATTTCCATTGCAGCAGACCAGTCTGTGAGTTTCCAGTGACATAACCAATAATCCAAGTACTGGCACATTAACCCCAATAAAACCGTGCACACAAAATTCAGCTGGATTTATTCCTACAGTTTTGTTGTTTTTGTTACTGAGTGCAGTGAATAAGCTCAAACCTCCAGCGTGATGTGGTGAAATGGTCACTCTTCTGTCTTTGTTGTCCTCTGCAGATTAAAGTACACACAATAAAACGAGAGGATTCATCAGTGTGGAAATAACTTTACAAGAAATTACTGATACATAACTGAATCTGTCAAAACCTTGCTGTGCTTTATATGTAGTCACACTATTTGAGAGGTTCTGCACACTTAGGTCCATGACAGTATTTAATCACTCTTTAAAGCTGTCCTAACTGCTACTACTCTCATATTAACTATGAGAGTTATCACCTGCAGTTCTCTTCAGCTCTTCTGAGCTTTAAAGCATCTTTCAGCTCATCATTTTGTTTTGTTTTTTACGGCCTCAACTTGTAGGTTCACCCTCACAGCTCTCGTCAACCCCATTTCAGCAGCAAGAAGCTGTTATCAGTAAATAAGCACTGATAAACCCGCTGCTCAGCACCAAACAGCAGACAATGTTAGCAGCTACAGACGACGGTGAAGAGAGAGGAACATCTAGCAGCTAAAGAAGCAGGAGTTGGTTAATTTACATTAATCAGGACACCAGAAATGCGACTCCAAATTATTGATAATGTTACTGACTGTGACTATTTGCTAACAATTTCACCATAAGAACTTTAAAAAGAGCATAATACATTAGTTTTGTGTTTACAGCTTGTTCCAATGCTCCCAAGTGGTCAAGAAACAATTAATAACATAACATAGGAAGCTCCACAGATACAACACGTCACACTGAGGATAAATCAATACAAAAAGCTAATTTTAGAAATAATTATCAAAACAGTACATGGATTTGTATTGTTTTGAACTGTGGAATTACTTTTCCATGTGGACATTTCCCCTGAGGAAGGTTCTAAAACCAATAGGCTGGCTCTTTGAAGATAAAATACATGCATGGATCAAAGTGCAGAGTTTTTAACAGTTTATAAAAAAATTAACTATCCAAAAGGCTCATGGGAACTCTGCCGTGGAAGAGTTATAATGTACAAATGAGCTTATAACTCCCCCCCAAAACCAAAACACACACTCACTTTCTGAGCCGCCATCAGAGCGTCCAGCTCCTGAGTCCAGCCGAGGGCGTCGACCAGGGCTTGCACACCGCTGACCACGTCACCCAGCTGCACGACGTCGTTGGGCCGCCGACTCCAGGCGAACGGCCCCACCAGGTCCCTGTTGATGAGCAGTCGGGGGACAGAGCTGCGCACAGCTCCTGCCAGACTGGCGAAGGGCTCCACCTGCAGAGCGAAGAGTCAACTGCAGCAGCTTTTCAAAGCATGTTGCCTTCTTGTTGTAAGGTGATATACAAATACATTTGTGTATTTTGTTATTATTAGAGTTTACTCTGGAGATGCAGACAGGAAACAGACGGAGAAAAGAAGGTAAGATGTGCAGCAAACGTCCAGAATCAAAACAGGACTTTGTGATGCACGTTTTGAGCCACTTGCTGTCGCCCCCCCAACAACAACTACTTGAGTTGATGGTGTAGTGTTTGTGTTAAATGAGCCCTTCACTAATAACAACTTCAGTGGTTTCAGGTAGTACTCCTCTTTAAGCAAAACATTACTGACTATTAAGAATCACTGAGACCAGGAAGTTTGAGGTGATTCTGATCCAGCTGCTTGAAACTATTAATATCGCAATAACATAAAAGTATTTTTACTACCTATCTGCTAACTAACATGAACTGTTTGACTATAGATCCAATAAAGCTATTTGCTGTATTTTCCAATCAAAATCCCAGACATTCTCTTGCAGAATAGGAATATATGTCTAGCAGCAACATCACAGCAACGACCCCGTCTCTTTTACAAAATAAAACCTGCAACCTTTAGAATGGCAAGAATGGCAACACAGACTTACAGTCCCCTCGGAAAGCATTGGAACGGGAATTCAAAGTCCTTTGTTTTTGTTGTTCACTGAAGACATTTGGGTTCAAGAGACAAGAGTTCAGAATTTTTTCTCTCATTTCCTGGTATTCACATCTAGATGTGTTAAACAACTCAGGACATACCAACCTTTGTTTGAACCCACCCATTTTTCAAGTGAGCAAAACTATTGGACCATGTGACTGTCAGATGTTTCTTGTAGCCCAGGTGTTGCCTTTTAGGCTGATTGTCCAAATATTAAATATCTCTGCATGACTAGTCTAAGTTTTCATCCTTGGTTCAAACCTATAAAGACTGCATTTCCTGTTAAAGAGGATAAAGCAACACGAAGACCAGAGAGCTGTCTATGGGAGAAAAGCAAGTCACTGTCAAGCTGAGAAAAGAAGGAAAATCGAGCAGAGCCATTGGACAAACATTGTGCAGAGCAATTTGGAACGTCCTGAAAAAGAAAGAAACTACTGGTGTACTGAGTAACAGACGTCCAACAGGTCGGCCAAGGAAAACAACAGTAGTTGATGACAGAAATATTAAATTTTATTTATTTTAAGATTATTTGTTCCAATAGTTTTGCTCACCTACGAATGCTGTGGTCTAATACAAACGGTGGTGTGTCCTGAGTTGTTTAACACATTTAGATGTGAATACCAGGAAATTGAATTTCTGAACTCTTGTCTCATCTTTTGATCTTAAACCCAAATGTCTTCAGTGAACAAAAACAAAGGAATTTGCCTTACCGTTCCAATACTTTTGGAGGGGACTGTCTAGTGCAACATTTATTTAACTTCTTTTGCAAGACAATATTGTTGCATCCTTTATGACGCTGGAATTTATTAATTTAAAAATATCTAGGCGTCCCCTGTCAGTTTTGGTTGGGAGCTTTTGCTGCATGAGATACCCCCGTCTCTCCTAGGGATGCACAGATCCGATACTGACTCAGATAGCTGGATCAGGTATCGGTGACAAATGGTACATCCCTAGTCCCTCCTGTCAGCATAGTCACTGAAAACTATTTGTTGATGAAGATGATATAGTACAGAGAGTCCCTTTGCATGTTTGTTTAGTTCCAGTGGGCCCAGCTTTAAACGTCATGTCATCTCTCACCCCAACATACCGGTTCAGCTGAAAAAAAAAAAAAAAAAAGTCAGATTACAGGAACATGTTGTTGTTTGAAGCCGGTGTCGCTCACCTCCAGTGAGGTGCCCATGACGATGAGGAGGTCTGCCAGTGGGAAGTCTGTCAGGTACTTGAAGAAGTGCACCGGAAGCTCCTCTCCAAAAAACACGATGTCAGGCTTGACCACGCCCTTACAGGTGGAGCACTTCGGGACCGTCCCGCTCATCACGTCTGGCTGATGAGACACAAGATGTAAAATGACTGAGTCCTGATTATTTTATTGACTGAAGTTTTACTATATAAAATATTAACATAAATTTAAAAGATTCTGAAGTAGTTTTATCTGGTTTTTACTCACAAATTTCAACAGTTACACCAAATGTTTGTCATTTTAATTTGATAAATTAGTGAGGTTTATTGTTTACTGTTGGATACTGAAGACCTGTTCTACATCATAAACTGGCTGTTCGCTCAAACACTCACTGATTTTTAATGCAACTTTTTGCCAGACGCAGACGCCATTCACCCCCATCATCATCTGTCTGAAAAGGAAAACTTTGATGGGACTTGTGTATCTACAAAATTTCTTTTTTTTTGGTGACCAACTTTTTATAAATTTCCACGCCATCCTCAAAGTGGCATAGTATACAAATTTTACATATTTAATCACTTTTTAAATATGAATTTAATAATAATTATATAAAAAGAAAGGGGCACAAAGAGTTATCCCCTGACCTGGTCAGCAGCTCTTTCAATAGCCTCTAACGTTCCCTCCTCCTTTAGCTTTGTTTACCGATGCAAATGACAATTCTAAGACTAGTACTCTATGAAAGGAAGATATGCATCGATAAACACGTGTATGTGGAAGCATCATCTTGTAATATGGATTTGTTTGGACTGCCGATAACGACAACATCTCACAAAAATTCTCACTATTTTTCTAAATGCAGAAATATAAGGAAGCTGGCTAAACTTTGTGGGGTGGAGCTGGAGCTACTTTGGTTACTCAGTTAAGGATGTTTAATTCCTTTCACCTCAACACTACCCGCACTCATTATTATCGAAACGAAAGAATTTCCCCTCGGGGATCGATAAAGTATTCTGATTACAACTGTGTGGTGCAACAATCCTGTGATCAGAAATGCCACTTAAAATGACCGGATTCAACTGTTACTATAAAGATTACATGGAGTAGTTGCATTGCATTTGGGCATAATAATAAATAACAAACAAGCTTATCTGATGTTTTTTCATAAAAAACACAATAAACCTTATTCTAAATATTTTTATAAAATCAGGGTTAGTGTTTGGGTTATAACTCACTCGTAGCTCGTCTCCCTCGTACCTCTTCAGACAGACGGTGCAGGTGGCGGTGGCAAATGTACCGTGGGCCTCAACCAACATCGCAGGAGGGATCCCTGCCACTTGATGCAGATATAAACAAGCACAATGACTTTAAATTATGTGGAGCAATTAATTTATCATATCAAAAACGATGCTAAAAGAAGCAAAGATATGAACACATACATCGCTCCAGCCCGTCGATGTTCTGCGTGTACATCCGGAGAAGCTGACCCTTCTTGTGAAGCAACTGTACAAAATAATGGGTCAGATTGGGCTGATAGTTCCCAGGATACAACTCCTTGGCCAGGGCGAAGAAGGGATTAGGGTTTTGATGGAAAAAGTTTATCTCGAATATGGCCTCGGCGTAAGGCAGGTCATACTGCTGCAGGTTGTCATAGAGGCCGCTGCCGGGAGACCTGTGAGAAAATAATGTGCTGATAGACCCCAGAATACACCTGACATTTACAGGAGCTTAATAGAAATACCATATCTAACCTTTTTACCTGAAATCTGGGATGCCACTGGGCGTGCTGATCCCGGCTCCGGCCATCACCACCACCCTCTTGTACTGCTGCTCTCTGATGCTCTTGGCCATGTCCTGCAGGGTCTGCTGCTCCACGGCTGCACCGTCACCACGGGAGGAAAATCCCCGAGACCCATTCCACCAGGGAGAGTTTGTTTGTCTGTGAACAAGCAAAACAGGGATGAGTACAGAATACTTCACTAATGCTTAATCAAGTCTGATGCTTAACTTACTTTTTTACAGATGCTAAATGCACTTACAATTTGAGCTGCCAGATGTCCTGTATTAAATTAAACTATTAGTTGATTAACAGAAAAGTAGATGAAAACAATTTTCCAATGTGAATGTTTTGTAGTTTTCTTTATTTACTTACTTTTACCTAATTTTAAAACAAATATCTTTGGGTTTTAGACTTTTGGCTCTGCGAAACAGTGACGACCATTTTTCATCTTTTTAAATGCTGAACATTTGATGGTTTTCGCTTCTCAAATGTAACAATTTGATGCTTCTCCTTGTCATGCATTATAATAAACTGAATATCGATAGTTAGTCAGACAAAACGAGACATTTGAAGTAGGGCTGCAACTACAACTCTACCCTGTCAATTATTTTCAAGATTAAACAATTAACTGCGGGTAATCGTTTAGTCTATAAATTGTGAAAAATGCTCATCACAATTTTCCAGAGCCCACAGTGACAGCTTCTTTTGTCCAACCAACAGTCCAAAACCCAAAGACTTCATAAATGACAAAGAATAGCAGCGAGACCTTACAATTAAGATGAAACCAGCAAATGTTTGACACTTTTACTTACTCAAAATAGTTCATTAATTTTCTACTTGATTAGTCGTCTAATCGCTGCAGCTCTAATTTGAGGACACAACCTTTGACTCAAGGAAATCGTCATTTTTTTGACATTCAATAATCGAGAAAATAATCTACAGATTAATCTGTGATTAAATTAATTGTTAGTTAATATTCTAAGATTTGTTTAGATCTGGAAAGAAGACACATTGAAACTTATCAGCTGACATTCTGGTAATTACTTTGTGGTGTTTTAGGAAAGCAAAACCATGTATTATGGTTCACAACATTAAACAACACCCAATATCATTACAATAATGCATGATAAATATGAACACACGGCCCAGCCATACCTGAGGATATAGAATATCTCAGGTGTGTGCTGTTTTCCTAACTGTGAGGTGTAAGTACAGTTGTGTGTTTACTGGGACAAACAATGACAATATCACAAAGCAGTCTATGTGCTGTGTTACCTTAAACTTTAGTCTGCCTATAAAAACACACTGCTGCTTGCACACTGTTATATAAACAACTTGATTTTACCTTTGTTTAATTTCTGATCCTACATGTTCATTTGCTCTAATGTGTGTGTGGCAGTCTCCTCACATTTATGCCAAACATGCAGAGCACTGGTAAAATGTCAGGATCTTGCTTGTCTCGTTAAGAAGTGTGTCTATGATGGTACCTGCACAGAGCTGCTGCACCTTGAGATGGACACAATAAACTCCTTTGAGCCAAGCCTATAAAATAAAATAAAAAACACAAGGCATGTGTCACAATTATCCATCATAAAATCGTTCTCATCTCTATTTCTTCTTCATTTTTAGCTCTGTGTCTACTAACCGGCTGCAGAGAGCGTCCTGGTGGATCTCCAACACAAACTGCGATGTAAACAACAAAGTCTGACAGGTGACATTAACGAGGAGCTCACTAAAGGAGCCATAACACAGCTGTGACTGCAAGCTGCACTACCCACAGATATTTAGAGCATGATTAGCAGATTCATAAACACGGACACGAACGTTTTCACTTATAAAATCAGATAAAATAGGAAACTCACGACCGCCTGCAGAAATGTGTGCAGTAGTCCTTTGACCTTATGACGCGGAGTAAGTTACCGTAATGTACGATGTAGCCTAACTTAGCTACACAAAACAGCTCGGCCGTTAGCTAACTTACCAAGCTTGGTCGCCTATTTTGATTTAATAAAATAAAACAACATAAACATAAAATGTATAGCGGTCAAGAAATCAACTTTACTGGAAAAGAAAAAAAATAGCTTACAAACTAGCTAGCTTCAGAAACGCCTCCTTCATTTCCCATGATCCTTTGCGCCCAGGCACCGAGCTGACCCACAACACGGGAGGCTGTTAGCTAAACGTTAGCTAAACAATCAACACTTATCAGTCCCCGAATAAAATCTAACTGCAGTTTGTCGCCACAATGAAAGATGTTACCGGGTACCTGAAACAGCAGCAGAGCAACAGCTCTACGCCGGAGATGGCGGCGGAGTGGCACATGTTGGAGGAGTTTTACAACAAAAGGTAAAAAGAAAGAACGCCGTAAAAGTCAGCTAGCTAACGTGAGCTAGCTCATTCATTGGCAATGCACGCTGAGTCATGCACAGAGCTAGCGTTAGCTTAGCTTTAGCTAATGCTAGCCGCAAGTTTCTTCTTCAAGATCAGAGCCCGAAACTTGGCTTCTAATAGTAAATTTGTAAAGTGGTCAGGAAACAAGAAAAATACGATTTAATGGGTTGAAGCCTCAAACCCAACACCAATAATTTAGGCAAATGGAAAAAGGAAAAAAAAAAAAGGTGTCAGTCTGTCACAAGTTTTCCTAGCTAAGTTAGCTATTTGCTAGCGTTGATGCTCCGCAGTGCACCATAAGGATAAAACAACGTTTAAGTTAATACTGTTTTGTAAAACATCAGTATGAAGGTTAAACTGATACTTAGCGTTAAAAATAGTTTTGTATTTTAGGAGCTCCAACTTTAAATGTCCATCATTTGTTAACTTCATCAGTGTTCAAAGTTAAAATAACCAAAAATGCGGATTTGTTTTTACAGACAGCCACATTAATGTGAACACCCTTTTTATAATATACACATTGCCTAATAATAAAAAGTTTTACCCCCTTCGGGAGTTTAATGTTTTGTGTATAAAGTAGAAAGGGTTATTTGTTAAAGAAATATTGTGAGCCAGGTTGAGGTGTGAAGAAGTTTCAGACACTGATGAAGACTTAACATAGCATTGTTTATTGAGCCGAGGAGATACAGTGTCAGCATACAACATGTGAACACATCAAATGCCAACACCAAATCTGAAGGATAACCTCTTTTGGTTCTTTTTATCTTTCTGGCTTCCCCCTAGTGCCTGTTGGTTTCCTTATTAGATCATCTTTAACTGGCCTTAACCTAAAACAACAAATCTATGTTATGTTTAGACTCCAGTGCTACATCATATTGATATCTATTACTATCCTTGAGTCAGTAAGTCCTTGTAAACATTCTTGTAAGATTTATCCTTGCCAGATTGCCAGAGAATACTGATATCTGCTTGCGGGACGCCTGAGCTGCTGTCATATCATCAGTCACGCACCAACCATCACTATCAATCAACTAAATTTCACCTGTATCTAAAAGTGTTTTGTTAGTTGATTTGCAGACATAAACTACAATGTTTATTTTGAGTGTGTTTATGCTCATGATAGCTGTAATGATGCAGAGTAATTCAGATGAACTGGTGACTATAACATAACTATAACTAACTGTTTTGTTTTTCCATTGACAGATTGTGGCATCAGTTGACTCTGAAGCTGACAGACTTTGTTAAAGATCCTTGCTTCAAAACAGGAGATGGCCTCATACAGGTAACCACACACAACCCAGTCACGCAGCTGTGTTTTCACCGAAAGTACCCTTAACGTTTAGTCCCAGGAAGGAACTACTACCATAAAGAAACTAAACTGTTCCCTCAGCCAAACTGCTATGTGCATTTCCACCGCTTTCTAAAGACATGACGGATATTCTTACTCTGACCAATGCGTCATACAAACGTCAGGCATAATTATTTATGCAACACTGCAACAGCACAGCAACCGTGGAGGAGATTCAAGTTGTGCGGTTGTTGATTGGGATTTTTTGGCTTGCAAATGTAGTCATTCAGTCACCGGTGGAAAAGAAACAAACAACAGTTACAAAGTGAATTCAAAAATGCCCTAAATGTTAGACTTAGTAACCTCTACTCAACCAATCAGAAATGTTCAGCTGTGCAAGCCCCACTCCTCAAAGGTCCGGTACTTTTGGAAAGTACTCCTACTGTATACTACTTTTATTTATTTTTTTAAATCAAGGTTTAGTTGGCTAAAAGTCTGGGTATTTTAGTCAAAAGAAAATCAAAAGTATTTTAGTCTCATTTTAGTCTTTTCTAACTCCTTAGTATAGTTTTGTTCTAATTTTTATTGCAAAGGAGACATTGACTTATCTCAATTCCCAGGTGGTCAGCCTTGATATGCCGCTTCAAGTTTGTCTAGATTGCTTGCGGTCCGATATAATAAGGCACTCTGTCCGTCTCATTGTATTAATATGTAACCAAATATCTAAGCACCTCTTTCTCCCAAGCATGTTGTGTTCTTCACCAGAGTTCGTATCCTCCACAGTAAAGTAACGTTTTCCTCGCGCACTAGGCGTCGCCCCGGCATTCAAAGCACGGGAAGAAAAAAAATACCACTGAATGAACACACTGTTCAAGTGAAAATTTAGAGGTAGAAAATATGGCCTGTAATATTGTCTTCTCATTGCAGAAACTGGCCACACCACTAATAAATTGCAGGAGTGTTGAACATACCATCATAAACGGTTAAAGTCTCAAACTTTGTAATGCAGTTGTTTGCATTTGCTATATTGTTATTAAATCTATTTGTTTTGTCTTTATAACAGGCACATTATCACAGTAATTAAAATGTCTTGTGTTACTGATATTTATCAAAATTACTCTTATAGCACAGAACTATGTTCCTCGTCTTTTTTACACCACATTAGACCAAATTGGGATTTGTGTCAAACACTATAAAAACAAATTTTGTTTCTCTTGGATTATTTCCAAACCCTACATCTCTGTATCTCACACTGTTGGGAATGTTTTATGTTCATAGTCATGCCATTAGGCGCTATGTTTAGCCTTTTATGTTAAGGTACTACATTAAGCCTTGCCACTGATGTATAAGGGTTTACTGGAAACACCGTCCTGCTCAGAACATTTAGTAAAATATATACCAATTCAGACACTTGCATAAAACAAGGAATTTTGATCAAATATTCTCTCTAAATGAGGAAATTTAACCATAAATAATGTCAGAATTTAAATTCTATTTGTGGCCACTATAGAGAATTGATATGATTTAATGTTTTCTGTGATCTGACATCTTTTTTTTTTATTCTTTCTTAAAGCTCTATGACAATTTCCTCAGTGACTTCGAACACAGGTGAGATAAAAGTGTCAAACTACCTGCCAGTTCAGTATTTTTTTTTTTTTAGCTTGTGCTAATTTATTATCTTTGCTCACTTATCAGAATCAACCCACTGTCCCTCATGGAGATTATACTGTATGTTGCCAGACAGATGCAAGGTAAGGACAACGTGAAGCAGCAGGAAATATTTCTTGGCGGAACACACTCTTAATTTTTGGGGTATTTACAAAACTGTTTTTGTTTTCAGATCCAAAAGATGCCATCACTTTTCTCGAGAAGACCAAGGACAAGGTAACAAAGTCCTGCAATAAAATCCTCTTCATAAAGGTTATGATGATCAGTTTGTGATGAAACTGTTTCAACGACTTGTTGATTCAACTTTATGGTAATCTTCAATCGTCTTCAATACTTCGATATAAGTAGGGGAGGCTAAATAAGAGAAACACTTCTCTGTATGATGCAGTACAAGTCAGCAACACCTCAACACACAGCTTCCTACATGATCATAAAGTTGATTCAACACCTCTGTAAAGCAGTTTCAACACACATTGTACACCTTGTTCTAGCTAGGTGTACCTATAAAACTGGCAGCTAAATGTAAATGATAGAATTTTTAACAGTTTTTCAGATCAAACTTTAATATGTCTCTTCTCTGGTTCAGGTGAAAAGCAGCGACGAAGCCGTCATTCTCTGCAAGACGTCTATCGGCAGTCTTAAACTGGAGATCAGTGATCTTCCTGCCACAAAGGTAACAGCTCCTGTACTCTCAGCGCTCTCTCTTTCTTTGTTTTTTTTTTTCAAGCTGCTGTGCAGACAAACGTGCCTCACATCTGATCAGATATAACACGTTTTCAAATGTCAAGCCGCCGGTAATGTTCGCATGTGATAGGTCGTCAACGCAGAGCGGCAAACACCACAAGCAGCTGTTAAACTGCACACCAGTGGTGCATTCCCACTCACACATGGGCGTGTAATCCCTCTTCTTATGTGCAGACACAAGAATCTGCAAAAAGCAACAGAACATGCCCACACTGCCTCGGAGAAAATCTGAAAGCTTTATCTCCAACATCTATCGGGATAAACGACCATGAATCATAAAGTAAAAATGTTCATAAAGTCACTTCCTGGCTCATAATCATCACATTTACGTATATTCCAGATTGTTGATGTACATTCAAACAGTAGCCAGTGTAGCATGACTTCTGAAAGTGAAGATTATGTTGTTGTTTTTATTACTTTTATCATTATTATAGTATAATGTAACTTTAATACCACAAAATGCAATCAAGCATCTAACAAGATAGATGGATAGATACAAACGTGAAGATGGATAAATGCAGATTTGCCAAATTGAAAATAGTATTGTGGTGAAGAAAAAAGTCTTTGCTCAGAGTTTAGTAACGGACTTCATGGCAACAGTACACAGTTTATTTATCTCCCAAAGCATGATGGGAACCCTGTAGGTAAAGACTTAGAACATAGTAATTCCAAAAGGAACATAAAAATATACCTTTTTTTTTTGTCAACACATTTTTTGAACGAGCTAAGGGTTGTAACGTCGAACATGGATCTCTTATCTCACAAACACACTTGAAAAAATGTGGACAAATATAAAGGCATTTATATACAGTGGGTAGAACAAGCATTTGATACACTGCTGGTTTTGCAGGTTTTCCTACTTACAAAGCATGTAGAGGTCTGTAATTTTTATCATAGGTACACTTCAACTGTGAGAGACAGTTGAAAATAGTATTGTAATGGGGGGGGGGGGTCAGTTTTTAGCACCACAGTCATCCCTGGCCTTTTGTATTTTTTTAGATTCATGATTCTTTTGCCTGTCTTTCCTTATGCACCAAAATACCAAATCATACCTTGGATGTAAGAATCTACTTGGCAATAAAATTAGTTTGATGTCCTGACAGAGTTTAAGAATTGTGTAAATATTGCCTTTTTGTCCTTCCAGAAACTCATCGAGGAGGTGGAGGAAATGTTGAATAACTTGCCCGGGGTGACGTCTGTCCACGGCCGGTTTTATGACCTCTCTAGCAAATATTATCGCATCATCGGGAACCACGCCTCCTACTACAAGGATGCTCTGCGCTACCTCGGATGTGTGGACATTAAAGACCTGCAAGGTGAGCAAAGGCATGATGGGGAAACAAACACTTGAACTTGAAGTCGTGCTGATGGCGCAGAGGAGGTCATTTAGATTAATGTTGTTTACGCCACAGAGACGGAGAAGCAGGAGAGGGCGTTCACACTGGGGCTGGCTGGACTCTTAGGAGAAGGAGTTTACAACTTTGGAGAGCTGGTGGGGTTTTCACTAATCACAGTGGTCTTATTTGTTTGTCAGTGCTGGACAGCCTCTCAGCTGAAGCCCGTTGACCACATCTGCTGTTGTGTCTTTGCAGCTAATGCATCCTGTGCTGGAGTCCCTGAGGAACACGGACAAACAGTGGCTGATTGATACACTATACGCCTTCAATGGAGGCAATGTGGAGAAATTCCAGGGCTTCAAGTCTGCCTGGGGTCAGCAGGTGATTAATAGCATATGGATAACATATACTGAGACATTAAAGATTTAACTGATCACCATGTGAGAACTAAAAAGATGAGAAGTGATGTGATAATTTCTTCAACATGAAGAAAACACAAATTCATGTATTTTTCAGTTTAACCCACTTTGACATGCTGTGCCAATAGAACATTTAATAAAAAGTTAGACAACTCGCTCAGTTGAAGTTTTCGCTTTAAGATATGGATATCTGGAACCTGGTCAGGGGATTGTCACTAATACATCATCGCTGTCATCTCTGTGTGATTTTGTTTTTCTGTCTTGGTTGTAGCCTGACCTTGCAACAAACGAAGCAAAACTGATGCAGAAGATCCAGCTGCTGTGCGTTATGGAGGTGAGACACTCAAATTTCCAAGTAAAATAAGTTCATATTAATGGCGTCGTTGCAATCGGTGCATTCACTCGCAGAGAAGTCGCAATTCATCTTTGCTAATCTTTCGCAAAATGTTTAATTTTTAGGCAGATAATGGACAGCAAATAATAACAACATGAAATGTAATTTTTGCCAACTAACCAAGCCACATTTGGAGGTAGTTTGTAAATGCCACATTTCCAATATAATTTCTCCAGATGCGTCTCAGTCCGGCCACGCAAATCGGCTTTCAAAGTGTTTTTTGCGTCTAACGGGACACGCAATGACAACATCCCATCCAGAGTCATGTATTTGCATCAGAGGAGGCTTCCTCCATCGGCCTCTCAGGATGGTTTGTAATCGGTCGCACCAGACAAAGTCAGCGGCGGAGGCTGATAATGATCTGCGCCGCAACTTGATAGCACAGTTGTTTGGAGGGCGAGATGATGGCTCTCCATTGAGATCTGATTAACAGGATACCCGTGGGGTCTTAAAAGTATTTAAAAAGTCTTAAATTTCATTACCAAAGTATTATATTTCATTACCAAGGTCTTAAATTGTTTCTTGTCCTTTCGTAGGATGTGTGTGTGTGTGTGTGTGTGAGACTTCATAATATACTCCGTTTGGTGTGACTCTGATGTTATACAGAAGTACAGGTAGTGTTCCTGTTTAGCTTTACGCTCTGGTCTGTGGAGTGTTCGCGGTGCAGCAGCTCTGGCATCCAGCTCTGCGCGAATCAGTCAGTTGTTAGAAAAGAAAAGAAAACGTCTCTTAAGTGCTACTAACGTTAGCTCGACGACTCAGACTGGACAAGTGTGTAAAATTCAGAAAGCCAGAGATACGAACAAGTTGGCGGACGAGGCTGAGGGCAGTTGCGCTGATGTTGGCACAACAAGCTGATCGGCGTGCGAGCCAGTCACACTGGCGAGCGCTAATGGAACAGCAGAGCTGGAAGACCGAAGACAAGGACCGTGTCTGTGTGTCGGCATTGCACCGCTGTTGTAGGGTAACGTTATGTGAAGGGAAACATCAAACTAACGCACATTTAACTTACATCACCCAGATGCGCCGATCACGGGAACGGTGGGAAAAACAAACCGAAGCCCAACTCCTTATCCCCGCTGCTTTCAAGCCAATACTATATTTCAAGCAGCCTTTAGATGCTTTAGAAAAACAGAACAGGATGAATAATCACTGAAGCAATTGCCATATTATATTACTTTACCTTATCTAACCAAGGTGGAACTAACCGCAACAACTCATAACACAATTTGTTTGTATTTTTGATTTCACCCCTTAAGAGTTCTTAGTGCACAAATATTGTATTCATTTCATAGGTGTCATTTAGGCTGTGGATACTGGGGACATGTTTTTTAAAAGAATTTGATAAATATGTTCTGAAAAATGGCTTGCAACAAGAAATGTTAAAAAAACAAATGAAAATACTTTGAGAAAGGTTTATTTGCACAAGAAGAAAACGTGCAATTTAAAGGAAAAATACACAAATGTGCATTGTTCAAAAAAGTTTAAGCTAAAAAAATCTGAATCACTTTATTTAAATAAAGACAATTCTACCATAAAGTTGTGCAGAAAATGTCTCCAGAATGCAGGAAATTAATTGTTTAGTGCTCATAATCGTCTAGAGGACACCCAGACTGCCATTTAAATATATGTCGGCATTGAATATTTCATCAAATAGTGTTCAAATATCATCTTGTCCTGTTCTCGTTAACCTAATATTGTGAATTGTGCATGTGAGGTATGTGAATCACTTTTCAACACAAAGTGACGTCCTTGATTCATATCAAAGTACAAACACACCCCAAAAAGCTATAGTGTGTTAAATATGAATGTATTATAATAAAATATTTTATTGAATTCAGGTAACTTCGTAAATAATTTTCTCGGGCTTAAAATTAATACAGATTTTCCATTAAACGGCAGTGAAGTTGGTATTAAATTCCATCCTAGGTGGTATTGAAAAGGTCTTAAAAAGTCTTAAACTTAACTTTGAGAATCGATTTTGAGAACGAAAAGAACCAGAGCCCAAAATGGAGAAGGCTGTCTGGTCTGAATGTATAAAACCTCTTAAAGCGCACTGTGTCGCCTGCTTGAGCTACTTATAAGCTGCTTATATTGCACATACACATGTAAATACATAACATTCATAGTGAAATATTCATAGTGAAATAAACAATTTGATAGTAACCTATTTCCCATGTTTTGCTGAGCAAAGGTTTTATACGAAAGGAATTAAAGGCCCAAATATGGGCAGGGTTCACTCAGTGGTGCAAATCCAACCCAGGCTTTTAATTTAATTTTTACTGTATTAGTATGTTCGCCCCATCCAATTTTATTTAACTTTGCTGTAATTATAGGATAAACTTCTCCACATTAGACATACGGCACAGATTGCAATCATCGGTGAGAGCGATATAGATAATATAAATTAGGGTTGGGCGATGTCTACAAAATTTCCATCGGATGAAGTCTACAATGAAACATTGCGATAGACGATGTCATGTTTTACAATCACGATGACGGCTCAACATCGTGATGTCTGTCAGTCATCGCCAATGGATGATGGCATCGTCTATCCCCACACAGATTTCTGCAGCTGCTTTAAAAGGAAGTGTCACTTTCTGGTCTGACTGAGTCATAACATTCTTCTGAAATAGTTTTAACACAGACACTCAACACCAACAAAGAAAACTCTTCAAAGAGAGACATAGATGATGTCACTGTGAAGGGTAAAAACAAAACCAAGAATATTAAATCACTTAAAATGTCTCCTTTCCTTTCCAGATGACTTTCACTCGTCCTGCAAACCACAGACAGCTCACCTTCACAGAGATCGCTCAGAGTGCCAAAATCCCTGTTAATGAGGTCAGTTAGATGACGTGTAGTGTATTTAATCTGCCTGTCAGTAAATGGAATTTTTTTTATATGAAAGTAAACTGATGGGCTATAGTAGTTTCTGATGCTCTTGTGTGTTTGTCTCCTGCAGGTGGAGCTTCTGGTGATGAAGGCTCTGTCTGTGGGGCTGATCAAAGGTAACATTGACGAGGTGGACCAGAAGGTGCAGATGACCTGGGTGCAGCCCAGAGTACTGGACCTGCAGCAGGTTAGACCTCATGCTGTTTTATATGTTCAAACAGATTTTTATCAGCATTTTACCTCGACTCGAATCACGCTGCTATCACAGCTGAGGAAAATACATTTAATATATTCTCAACTGCTAAATGTTAGTTTGATAATGTATTTTCTTTGCTTTGGTAGGTAACTGTCCAAATGTAATTGGTGTGACATCATTTACAATAGAGCCTGATGACAGCTAGAGCTGCCGTTTCATACTGATGCTCAGCAGTCTTGGACTTGATGTTAGGGTTTGGTTGTGATAGCTTCTTCCATTTGGCTAAATATCTGGATTTACTCATCTCAGGCTTGAACTAATCTCTTCTTGAATTTTGTTTTTATTTTATTATTTTGTTTCTACAACACATTTAAGAGACCGCTTTTCATTTTTAGCCAATGGAAACTACACCAGCAACAGATTAAATCACAAACATCTTGTGTGAAAGAAATTAAACTCTACAGCTGGTAGACTGTGTGTCTATTAATAATGTGAATATATTTAGATGATGAACTTGGTATTTCAATCAAGACCTCCAGTATTTTTAATCAAGCAGCTTGTGAAAAATAAGTTGTGCGCAAAAGTACACCTGTTATTTCAATGTGTCATTGTTAACAACGTTTCATCTCATTTTAAACAAGGTGTGAACATTTATTAGCTACAACAAAAAATGCTTCACAGCCAACAAAATCTGATTACTGATCTAAATTTAATCTTTTTAATTAGATTCAATAATTTTATAGAGGATATTGGAGTCACTAAAAAAGGAACTGGACCAGTTTCTACAGCAGCAGCTGGAAATTGATCAGAACATAATGCAGCTAGAAGACAGCTTATTTTATTTAGTAAGGAAACTCACTTTGCTGTGGCTCAGTAATTCCACCTGAAGCTGAGTAGAACAAAGTAAAACTCTTATTCTCTTGTCAAAAACTTTGACGTCCGAAGTAGGAAACTAAAAGTTCATTCGACAAGTGAAATCTGCAGACAAAACTATAACAGAGCAATTAACTGTAAAGTTGGATGAGAAAGTGAAAGTTAAGTCACCAGTGTTTGGACTCCACCTGCTGGTTTTACACTTACCTGTTTTCTGTTTCAGATCAAAGGTATGAAGGAGCGTTTGGACTTTTGGTGTGGCGACGTTAAGAACATGGCCATGCTGGTGGAGCAGCAGGCCCACGACATCCTCACCTGAATTTCCCCTTCGGCCCTTTGGAGGGAGACCTCACTCTGTTTTGTATTGTTTTTCTTTCTGTTGGATGTTTATTCTTCTGTTAACCATCTCTGTTTATTATCAACCTGTAAATTACACTGCGGTGTTTTGCAAATAAACACTTGGTTGTAACATTATTATCGTTGCCATGTCTGGACAATATTGTTCAAAACATGAATAAAAATGACCATGACAACAGTCAAATTCACCCCTGCTAGTTATTATGCGTTTCATTTCTTTAGCTTTCTTTAGGAACATTAGCTTCATTTCTAACCACTGGATGGGGGGGCAGAAGAAGTCATGACATATGCTAGTAAACCAACAGCCCTGACGTATAATCACTTTGGCTAATGTTAGCAAAATGTTGATATCTCCAGCAGCCACAGAACAACCTTATCATTAATTTGCAGCTCCGTTTCTCTCAAAGATATGAATGTAAGTCTAATATTCGCTCCCTTATTAGCTCTGTTTTGGTCTCCAGCACTTTAGAAAACATCTATTTAGCTGCCATCTAGCTAACGGTTAAATTCGTCTGCTGTCAGGTTTTTAAAGTTTTATGTTTGTTTTCAAGCAAATGTAAATGCTAGTACCACATAACTTCACACATAAATCCAAGTATACAGTGGTTAATTTATACTCCAGCAAGTGGACGAAGTACTCAGATGTTTCGTCTTAAGTGAAAGTGTAGAAATACATGTTAAAGGTCTGCATTCAAAATCTTACTCAAAAAGAGCACAAAAGTCTTAGCATCAAAATATACTTACGGTAGCAACAGTACAAGTTCTCATTAAGTAGAACGGCCCGTTTGACAATGTGATTGTAATTATTGATGCATTTATGTGTTTATCACTGTAATGTTGCAGCTGGTAAAGGTGGAGCTCATTTTAATGGCTGTTAAAGAAAAGTTTAGTAAAAACATCTGCCTCCACAATGTAGTAGAGTAGACGTATAAAATACCAGAAAATGGAAATACTCAAAGGTAAAGTACAAGTACCTCAAAATTGTACTTGAGTAAATACACAAGTGTAATTTTTAAGTATTGTATTTAATTTTTTTCTAAAAATAAATTTGAGGTAGCCTGTCTTCACATGCAGTAGCTGCTATATTTGATGAGTTATGCCATTGTGGTATTAATTGAAAATATATTTAGGTGCGCATTCTTTTTTTTTTTTTTTTTTTTTTTTACTGATTTGTTGACTGATGTAAACTTTGTCAGTATCAGAAAGCAATTATAATTTAGATGTAGCTGCTTTTTTGTGAGCCTTTTGTTCATATTTTGATCAGATTGTACCTTATTTCCGGTTTCCAGTTCATTACATCTCTTATATGGAAATTTGATGGCTGCAGCAGTGGCAACTTTGCATAATAGGATTTTTATATGTAAAACACATGTTAACCTTATAAAATATGAAACTACTCAATAATATATGAAGACCATTCTGACAGTACGGCTAAAATGAGTTTGCGTTTTGTAACATGGATCCAGGAAAAATAAATCCCTAACATTTTTTCCTCTGGATTTACATCATTAAATCTTTATGTATTCTCTGAGTTTAAACATCACATTACTGAACCGAAGACCTCATCACTCCACTATATCAAGTGATATTGTATATCATTGTAAAGTTCAAATTAATATATAACAATTACAGGATATAATTCTTTTAACACAGGATTATTGAGCAAATAGTGCCCACAGATGATATTGAGGTTGCAGCTAACAATTATTTTTATTATTGATTAATGTGCTGATTATTTTTAATTGATAATTAAGTCTATAAATATGAAGAATTAAGTCTATAAATATAAATATGCCCCCTGTAAGTTCCCAAAGCCCCTGTTTTCATATTCACATTGTTTGTTTAATTCCATGTGTAGTTCAAAATGCAGAGATATTCAGCTTATTATCATAGAAAACAAAGTAAACCAGTGGATTTTCCACATCTGAAAAGCTGTAACCAGTGAATTCTGGGCATTTTTGCTTAAAAGCATTACTTAAAAGCTAACCTGATAGCCGCTCAATAAATCAATTTATTGACTAATTGATTCAGTTCTAATATATTGTTACAAAGAGCATCTTAGATCTATGAAGAAGACGTGATATTTTAAAAGTCAGTACCGTGACAGACCTTCTGGTTACAGCTCATCCGTAATGAGCTGCTGTGATGGATTTCTCTCAGTATATTTATTGATTACTGGTGCGAAATGGTGGATGCACAAAGAAGCTGCTGTTCTTTGTTCCTGAGGAACTGACATCAAAATCCAATGTTTACTGTTGAGGTTGTTTCTATAATACTAAAATAAGCAATAAAATAGGCTAAGAAATGCAGTGGTGGAAGAAGAACTCAGATCCTTTACCTACGTGAAAGTACCAGTACAACAATGTAAAAAATACTCCACTACAAGTAAATGCCACACATTTAAAATCCTACATTACAAGTATGATTATCAAAATGCACTTAAAAACTGAAAGTAAAAGTGTTCTGCAGTAAAATGTCCCCTGACTGATTAGTTTATTAAAACTGATAAACTGATGAATCAATGTTAGTGCAGTGTTTAACTGTTGTAGTTGCTCAAAGTGGAGCTAGCTTTAACTACATCATATAATACTACATCAAATAATATCACGGCCTGTCGTGAGCTATAGCTTAACTATATCATATACAGTTAGCTAGTTTTAACTACATCATAAATAGTTAATCAGTTTTAACTACATCATACAGAGTTAGCTAGTTTTAACTACATCATATAATATCACGGCCTGTCGTGAGCTATTGCTTAACTATATCATATACAGTTAGCTAGTTTTAACTACATCATACACAGTTAGCTAGTTTTAACTACATCATACACAGTTAGCTAGTTTTAACTACATCATACACAGTTAGCTAGTTTTAACTACATCATACACAGTTAGCTAGTTTTAACTACATCATAAACAGTTAGCTAGTTTTAACTACATCATACACAGTTAGCTAGTTTTAACTACATCATACATAGTTAGCTAGTTTTAACTACATCATACAGAGTTAGCTAGTTTTAACTACATATTATACAGTTAGCTAGTTTTAACTACATCATACACAGTTAGCTAGTTTTAACTACATATTATACAGTTAGCTAGTTTTAACTACATTATATACAGTTAGCTAGTTTTAACTACATTATATACAGTTAGCTAGTTTAACTACATCATACACAGTTAGCTAGTTTTAACTACATCATAAATAGTTAGCTAGTTTTAACTACATCATACACAGTTAGCTGGTTTTAACTACATCATACACAGTTAGCTAGTTTTAACTACATCATACACAGTTAGCTGGTTTTAACTACATATTATACAGTTAGCTAGTTTTAACTACATCATACACAGTTAGCTAGTTTTAACTACATTATATACAGTTAGCTAGTTTTAACTACATCATACACAGTTAGCTAGTTTTAACTACATTATATACAGTTAGCTAGTTTTAACTACATCATAAATAGTTAGCCAGTTTTAACTACATTATATACAGTTAGCTAGTTTTAACTACATCATACACAGTTAGCTAGTTTTAACTACATTATATACAGTTAGCTAGTTTTAACTACATCATAAATAGTTAGCCAGTTTTAACTACATCAAATAATACCACGGCCTGTCGTGAGCTAAGCTTAACTATATCATATACAGTTAGCTAGTTTTAACTACATCATACACAGTTAGCTGGTTTTAACTACATCATACACAGTTAGCTAGTTTTAACTACATCATAAATAGTTAGCCAGTTTTAACTACATCATACACAGTTAGCTAGTTTTAACTACATCATACAGAGTTAGCTAGTTTTAACTACATCATACACAGTTAGCTGGTTTTAACTACATCATACACAGTTAGCTAGTTTTAACTACATCATACACAGTTAGCTAGTTTTAACTACATCATACAGAGTTAGCTAGTTTTAACTACATTATACAGTTAGCTAGTTTTAACTACATCATACACAGTTAGCTAGTTTTAACTACATCATACACAGTTAGCTGGTTTTAACTACATTATATACAGTTAGCTAGTTTTAACTACATCATACACAGTTAGCTAGTTTTAACTACATTATATACAGTTAGCTAGTTTTACCTACATTATATACAGTTAGCTAGTTTTAACTACATATTATACAGTTAGCTAGTTTTAACTACATCATACACAGTTAGCTGGTTTTAACTACATATTATACAGTTAGCTAGTTTTAACTACATCATACACAGTTAGCTAGTTTTAACTACATTATATACAGTTAGCTAGTTTTAACTACATCATACACAGTTAGCTAGTTTTAACTACATTATATACAGTTAGCTAGTTTTAACTACATCATACACAGTTAGCTAGTTTTAACTACATTATATACAGTTAGCTAGTTTTAACTACATCATACACAGTTAGCTGGTTTTAACTACATCATACACAGTTAGCTAGTTTTAACTACATTATATACAGTTAGCTAGTTTTAACTACATCATACACAGTTAGCTGGTTTTAACTACATATTATACAGTTAGCTAGTTTTAACTACATCATACACAGTTAGCTAGTTTTAACTACATTATATACAGTTAGCTAGTTTTAACTACATCATACACAGTTAGCTGGTTTTAACTACATATTATACAGTTAGCTAGTTTTAACTACATTATATACAGTTAGCTAGTTTTAACTACATCATACACAGTTAGCTAGTTTTAACTACATTATATACAGTTAGCTAGTTTTAACTACATCATACACAGTTAGCTAGTTTTAACTACATTATACAGTTAGCTAGTTTTAACTACATCATACACAGTTAGCTGGTTTTAACTACATATTATACAGTTAGCTAGTTTTAACTACATCATACACAGTTAGTTAGTTTTAACTACATATTATACAGTTAGCTGGTTTTAACTACATCATACACAGTTAGCTAGTTTTAACTACATTATATACAGTTAGCTAGTTTTAACTACATATTATACAGTTAGCTAGTTTTAACTACATATTATACAGTTAGCTGGTTTTAACTACATCATATACAGTTAGTTAGTTTTAACTACATATTATACAGTTAGCTAGTTTTAACTACATATTATACAGTTAGCTAGTTTTAACTACATCATACACAGTTAGTTAGTTTTAACTACATATTATACAGTTAGCTGGTTTTAACTACATCATAC